CCCTGCTCCCATTAAGGATTGGCACCTTTGGGGAGGGGAGCAGGTACCCGAAATTGATAGGTACCAGCTCCCAGTTCCGCTGCAATCGGAAGCGGAAGTAGTCCTCCTACCCTCCCTCCCCGTAGTCCTGTGGGACACGTGACAGGTCCCAGAAGATGACGGGGCCATTCAGGAAGCGCAGAGCTACTCACGCATGCGCAGTGGGCACCCGGCTGTGAAGCCGCAAGCTGTCACAGCCGGGTGCCCACACTGAAGATGCCGAACCCTGGAATACAGGACGGCGGTGAACAGGCTGCAGCGGGGGCACCGCGGGATCGTGGGACTGGTGAGTGGCTGTTTTTTTAAAGTCAGCAGCTACAGTTTTTGTAGCTGCTGACTTTTATTTTTTTACAGAGTGAGTGGAACTCCCCTTTAAGCTGGCCAAATATTTCATTCGATTTACCTACAACTATGTAGTGCAAGGGTCTGCCTGACTGTATACAGATTGTATACAAATTGAAAGTGTTTAGGTCTGACCACCTATTATATGCAATACAGGCTTCTACACCCCCCCATCCCTTTAAGGGGACCTCTGGCTGACTGGATCCCTTACCTCCGGTTAGCTCCGACAGCACCACACCTTTACCCAGAGGGAGGATTATCCTTGGCCAGGATCATATCCGACTCCTAAAGGGGACCTTTACTGCTTGTTTTTAATGCGTATTTACATTACGCATCTGGTGAGTGCGTATTTTCTTACTATGCTGTTTTGGAGCACCGTCATTGGATCTTTATTGCTGCTATTTTCACCTAGACTGTCACTTATGGATTGTTTTCGTTTATTTTACATTTGCATATCTCTATATATATGGGGACTAATATATGTATTACTATTAGCGCCGCACTTATTTTTATTTTATTACATTATTTTTGAGGTTTTTATATTGGTTACCTACAGCTGCTGTTTTTAGAGCGCTCACTTTTTTATTTTACTTATTATATGGGTTTTGGTAAATCTAAAGGAAATTTGTACAAGAAAATTGTATGGCCAGTCTAAGGCTGGCCATACTCTATACAATTTTCTGTCCAATTTCTGCCCAATTTCCTTTAGGTTTACCTTCAACTGTGTAGTGCAAGGCCCCGCCTGATTGGATACCACTGAAAGTGTTATTTGGGTTTGACCTCCTATTATATGGTTTTTCGGTAAATATAAAGCAAAAATCTCAATAAAATTGTATAGTGTATGGCCAGCCTTAGAGAGGAGTCTGGATTCAGAAAGATTTCACCTGGTTATTTATTTGAGTTTCCTTTTGGCCCACGATACCACACTTTTTTGAATTTTACCTTCTCATTAATTTCCAAGCCATTATCCACTGAAGCCATTACTTCCATGCATTGCACGAATGCTAACCGACAAGCTTGAAACAGCTGCTTGAAGTTTGGAATAAATGGCTGAATTATATGAGACCGGCGTTTTTCAACCAGGGTGCCATGACACACTAGGGAGCCTTCTGGGTTCTTCAGAGGTGCCTTGGCTAAAAGCCTGAAAATTGCCCAAACATTGTCAACAAGTCAGCAAGTGGATCAAACCTGCCTTTTTGTTACACATAGTTACAGGTTTCTATTGTGCATCATTATGTCCTTGGGCATTGTGCAGGTAAGCCATTGGCATCCTAACAACCGATGAAGTCATTGGTTGATAGGGTGGACATTGGGTGCCAGCACTGGGCTGTGACTTTCTGATGCTTCACAGCCAGCTAAGCTTCCCACCCCCCCAACCAATGCGTGCTGCGATTTCTGAATGCTCCTGCAGTCTCCTGGGGGAGGTTGCGGGCAGACTGAACTCGCACTCTGCTCACCTAGGTGAACTGAAGGGAAAAGAGAGCGGGTACCTGCCGGAAATAGGTGCCTGCTCTCTAAACAAAGAAATAAGGAGGTGGGAAGGAGGAAGGTTCACTTTAACCCCCGGTTCACATCTCTGTGGCCGTGCGGGATGTGTTTTGCACGGGCACGAGAGCCCATTCATTTGAATGGACTCCCGTGCCCATGACATGCAGGGGAAAGAAGTCGGAAATCGCAGTCCGCACGGGAATCTCAGTTCCCAGTACGGTTGTGTTTACCAGTGCAGGCGGTGTGCCCACAATTCTCTGTGCGGGTGGTGCAGCTGCACGGATTTTTGTGCGGATCCGCAGTGGCACCACCCGCACAGATGTGAACCTAGGGTCAGTACTTACAGTGTTAGTGTCGGACAATTATCAGGCTCATAGCAGAAATGCAAACTTTATTCTTGTCCATGGGGGGGTGTACTGGTAAACGTATACACCCCGTATACGTTTACACCCCATACACCCCATCATCAACATCTGGCTACGAAGTGTCTCACCTGAAGACTGTCGCACATTTCCTGGCTGTATGTTATTCTTTGGATCTCACTGGAAGAACACAGGTACAGCGCCTGGCCGCCATTAGTGAAGCAGAACGTCCTGGCTATTCTCATATCTGTCAGAGGTAAGTAATTGACATCTAGCATAGGACGCAGGCTTGGCAGGCTGCGGAGATAAAAACGCCCCGTTATCTATAGAATGATCCTTCACAGACTGACATTTCTTTGCAGATAAACAATCATTATTTTTTCACATAAAAGACAATTGTGTGTGCTGGCTGCATCGTCGTGACGCCAAACAGGTCGCTATATCTCAGATATTCACCTTGTGTTTTCTGCTTCGTTTACAAATACATTTTCTACAGTTTAAATAACAAATGATCATATTAAGAGTATACAATTGTGCTCAAAAGTTTCCCTCCCCTGGCAGAAATTGTGACATTTTGGCACAGATATTGAAAAATATGACTGATCATGCTAAAAAAAATTGCTCTTTTATTGAAGGATGATGATCATATGAAGCCATTTATTATTATCAAATAGTTGTTTGGCTCCTTTTTAAATCAGAATGATAACAGAAATCACCCAAATGGCCCGGATCAGAAGTTTCCCTCCCTCGGATCAGAAGTCCCCGCCCCCCGGATCAGAAGTCTCCACTCCCGGATCCGCCCCTCCCGGATCAGAAGTCTCCACTCCGGATCAGAAGTCTCCACTCCCGGATCAGAAGTCTCCACTCCCGATCAGAAGATCCGGATCAGAAGTCCCCCCGCCCCCGGATCAGAAGTCTCCGCTCCCGGATCAAGTCTCCTCCCCCTCCCGGATCAGAATGTTTGGTCTCCTCCCCCTGGAATGTTTGGCATTGGTACTGAAGAATGTTTGGCATTCTCCTCCGCCCCTGGAATGTTTGGCCTTGGTACAGACACACCAGGTGACACACACGGGTTAAAATGCCAATTAGAGGTTAATGTCCCACATCTGTGGCTTTTTAAAATTGCAATTAGTGTCAGTGTATAAATAGTCAATGAGTTTGTTATCTCTTACGTGGAAGCACTGACTAGGCTGGATACTGAGCCATGGGGAGCAGAAAAGAACTGTCAAACGTCCTGCATAACAAGGTAATGGAACTTTATAAAGATGGAAAAGGACATAAAAAGATGTCCAAAGCCTTGAATATGCCAGTCATCACTTCTACTAAGAAGTAGAAAATTCAGGGACCTCTTGATACCAAGCCAAGTACAGGTAGACCAAGAAAGATTGCAGCCACAACCGCCAGAAGAATTGTTCGGGATACAAAGGGAAACCCACAGGTAACCACCAGAAAAATCCAGGCTGCTCTGGAAAAAGACTGTGTGGTTGTTTTGAAGGAGCGCAATATGATGACACTTGAACAAAAATGAGCTGCATGGTGGAGGTGCCAGAAAGAAGCCTTTACTACATCAATGACACAAGAAGGCCCGGTTTGGCATGTCAAGGTGTTGTCAAGCATATTGTGACCGGGCTTTTTTGTGGCATTGGTGCAGTAAAAGCTTCTTTCTGGCACCTCAACCAAACAGCTAATTTTTGTTCAGTATCACCGTATTGTACTCCTTAAAAAACAACCACACCATTTTTTCCAGAGCAGCCTGTATTTCTTTTGAGGTTCCTGTGGGTTTTTCTTTGAATCCCGGAGAATTGTTGCAGTTGTGGCTGCAATCTTTCTTGGTCTATCTGACCTTGGCTTGGTATCAAGAGATCCCCGAACTTTCCTTCTTAATAGGTGATCTAACAGTACTGATTGGCATATTCAAGACTTTTGATATCTTTTTATGTTTTCCTTTTCCATCTTTATAAAGTTCCATTACCTTGTTACGCAGGACTTTTGACAGTTCTTTTCTGCTCCCCATGGCTCAGTATCTAGCCTAGTCAGTGCTTCCACATAAGAGCCAACAAACTCATTGACTATTTATACACTGACACTAATTGCAATTTAAAAAGCCACAGATGTGGGACATTAACCTCTAATTGGCATTTTAACCCGTGTGTGTCACCTGGTGTGTCTGTACCAAGGCCGAACATTCCAGGGGGGTGGAGACTTTTGATCCGGGCCATTTGGGTGATTTTCTGTTATCATTCTGATATAAAAAGGAGCCAAAACAACTATTTGATAATAAATGGCTTCATATGATGATCATTATCCTTCAATAAAAGAGCATTTTTTGGCAGATCAGTCATATTTTCAATATCCATGCCAAAATTTCACAATTTCTGCCAAGGTGTGCAAACTTTTTGAGCACAACTGTACATTTACAAAGTTTTTCTGATAAATGTATGAAAAAATGCCTATGTGTCTCAGACTGCAGCGGTCGACAGAGACGGGACATCATGGATGAAGATGGAAGATGATGAAGCCTGTGCCCACTTACCTTATTGTCATGATATGCCCATTGGCACAGAAACAGGCCAGCAGGACGTTGTTACACATGGTGACCACGTCCGCCCGCAGGAGGAAGGAGGTCTCGGTAATGTTGTGGACATACAGACACGTCTGGGAAGGCAGAGAGAAAACTTTGGCTTGCTTTTCTGAGCAGACCACGGCAAACTGGTGATCGCTCATATCCTGCGAGGAGGATGGAGAGAACGCCACCAGTTTCCTCTTCCTCGTCTTCTCATTGTCATCGGTGCTGTTCGGGTCCCTCCAGACTTCATAGGACGGGTGGATTTAAAGATCCCATACAGTCCAGGCAGGAGAAGGTCAGTACTGCCCCCTTCAGAGTGAGCGCAGTACCTGCAGACAGATAAAGCATGTAGTCAGACATAATCCCATTGTCCCGATCATACATGAAATGGAGATTCTCTGCATTGTGCAATGATTCTATTCATAAGGAGACCCTGAGAATAATGAGATGAATATCTGTGGAAAGTAGGGCGTGTTTAAAGGGTTGGTAATTCGGTTGTTTGGCAGGTGATGGATAGGTAAACCAGATATCAGTGCTTGGGGACACCCTGACCTCAGCTAGGAGGACCACCCCCCCCCTGTACGTAGGGGTCCCACTCCCCATGCTTGATTTTAAAACTGTGGTCAGTTCCTAACCAGGAGTTTGGTGAGATATATAAAGATTAATAATGGGGTGTCTTTATTTACTCTTTGTCATCCCTGACAAGTAATTTTCTTACCTGCCTCTAGGTGGGTCTTCCCATTATCCTACGATTAGGTTTGTCTATTGTCATTTATTATTGGGGCCCACCATAATCACCTAAAATCCTCGCCCGTCCTTTGGTGACCTAGTGTGTATAGTATGTCTAATCCAACTATATGTTTTGGGACTATTCATTGGATTCTGAGAGACCCGCTGGGGTGGGAACACCTTTTTGTTTATGATCACGTGTCCTGCTCTTGCCACCGAGTGTAAGCTTGTGTCTCGCTTTTATTTGGTTACCACGAAGGCATAGAAGATACAATAACACCTCAATGTGATACCGTTCTGTCCTGTATTGAAGCAGATTTCATCTGTGAAACGTCGTCAGGAACAAGGAAGGGACTGGAAGGACGCATCGCCATTGGCCTCTAAAACCGCCGCATTCTACATAACTGGAAAAAGCTCAAAAATATAGGCGGTCAGTGGTATTGTCAGTGCTGTTCCCTTTAAATTCCTTTAACCACCTTCCAGTCCGGACACCGCTTTCACCCCTTCCAGTCCAGTCCGGACACTTTCCCCCCTTCCAGTCCGGACACTCTCCCCCCCGCCTTCCAGTCCGGACACTTTTCACCCCCTTCCAGTCCAGAGCACTTTCACCCCCTTCCAATCCCGGACACTTTCACCCCCTTCCAGTCCGGACGCTTTCCCCCTTCCAATCCGGGAGACTCTTTCACCCCCTTCCAGTCCAGACACTTTCACCCCCCTATACATGTCGGACACTTTCACCCCCTTACAAGTCCCGGACACTTTCAACCCCCTTACAGTCCAGGCATCTTTCAACCCCCTTACAGTCCAGGCACTTTCACCCCCTATTCCTGTCTCGTCACTTTTCTCCCCCTTCCAGTCCGGACACGTTTCACCCCCTTCCTGTTCTGGACACTTTTCACCCCCCTTCCAGTCCAGACACTTGCACCCCCTTCTAATCCGGTCACGTTTCCCCCCCTTCCAGTCCGATTCTTTCACCCCCCTTTCCAGTCCGGATTCTTTCTCCCCCTTCCAGTCCAGGGGGACACTTTCACCCCCTTCCAGTCCTGACACTTTCACCCCCTTACAGTCCAGACACTTTCACCCCCTTCCAGTCCGGACACTTTCACTCCCCTTCCAGTCCGGACACTTTCACCCCCTTCCCGTCCGGACACTTTCAACCCCCTTCTCAGTCCGGACACTTGTCACCCCCTTCCCGTCCGGACTACTTTCACTCCCTTCCAGTCAGGACGCTTTCACCCCTTCTTCCAGTCCGGACACTTTCCCCCTTCCAGTCCGGACACTTTCACCCCTTCCAGTCCAGGCTAATTTTCAGCTTTCAGCACTATCACACTTTGAATGACAATTGCCGTCGGGTCATGCAACACTGTACCCATGTGAATTTTTTAGAATTTTCTTCGAGAAAGATAAAGCTTTTTTTTGGTGGTATTTATTCACCACTGGGATTTGATTTTTATTTTTTTGCTATATAAATGAAAAAGTCTAAAAATTAAAAAAAAAAAAGGTTTTCTTATAAAATTTTTGCAAATAAATAATATTTCATCATAAATCGTGGCCAAATTTATTCAGTTATGTTTTTAGTAAAAAAAAAAAATAACCCAAATTAGTTTATAACCAAAACTTATCTAATTTTTAAAGATTTTTTTTTACATTTTTTATTGTTTTTTAATATTATTATTTGTTTTTTTTCTACATACTGTCACCCTAGCAGTAGGGTGACCATAGTGACACTGTGTACTACTTGTGGGGGGTGATGATGAAGATTTTTTTTTTACACTGATTGCTTTTACACCCATAAAGGCTGTAAAAAGCAATCATTTCTCCTTCTCTCTGGCTGCATTCCTGCAGCCATTGAGAAATACTGTGAGAGCTGTGATTGGTCACAGCTTGTCACATGGTACAAGGCTGTTGTGAATAGCCCTGTACCATGTGACCTCTGTGATCATTCACAGAGCTTTCACATGTAGTAAGCAATGATGTCAGAAGTGACATTCTTGCTTACTACTCTGCATGTGATCACTGATTGGCCAATCAGTGATCACATGATCGGGACCTCACACAGAGGTCCCGTACAGCGATCGGTGTTCCCAGGAGCGCGCACAGTCCATAATGGCGGGTGCTGTTTATGAAGTGCCAGCTGGAGTGCCAGCGTCTGGCCGTTTATATACAGTGGCCGGACGGCAAGTGGTTAAAGTGTTGCTAAACCCACAACAGCAAAATCAGTCTGTATATGCAGAAAAGAATGCTTGTTATGATCACTGTGGAACCTAAGGGGTTAATCCTCCTCATTGTGTAAAAAAGGATGTTTTAGCCTGTCTTCTCTGATCCTCCCCTTCTTCCCAATCTTCTATCTATCTGCCATAGTACAGAGCAACAGTGGCAAGTCTGCACATGCTCAGTTTGATGTGTATTGCTAGAGAAGTTTTTTTTTTGGGGGGAGGGTGCATGTGATCAGCACAGGGCCAATCAGCACTGTCCATATAAATTGAATTGTATGAAAGTTATAGCGCCTACAAACTATACTAATATGCTGGAATTTATGCAGCTATGACGCTATTATGATAATGGCAGTGATCAGTGACTTATAGTGTGACTGTGATAGTGTGGCAGGCAATCTGGCACTAACAGGCACTGGCTGGGAGGTACACTAGCTGACAATAATGTCGTCAGTAACACTGATACAGTGATCCATGAAAATACACCCAAATTAGTTTATAACCAAAAATTATAATTTTTAAACATTTTTTTTTTACATTTTAATATTTTATATTATTTTTTATGGGTTTTTTTTTTTTTTACATACTGTCACCCTAGCAGTACAGTGTCACCATCAGGGTGACACTGTACACTGTACTACTTGATGAAGATTTTTTTTTTTTTTACACTGATTGCTTTTACACCCATAAAGGCTGTAAAAGCAATCATTTCTCCTTCTCTTTGGCTGCATTGAGAACTGAGAACTACTGTGAGAGCTGTGATTGGTCACAGCTTGTCACATGGCTGTTGTGAATAGCCCTGTACCATGTGACCTCTGTGATCATTCACAGATTTCACACATAGTAAGCAATGATGTCAGAAGTGACATCTTGCTTACTACTCTGCATGTGATCACTGATTGGCCAATCAGTGATCACATGATCGGGACTTCGTCGCACAGAGGTCCCGTACTACGATCGGTGTTCCACTGTGTCCTGAGGACACAGCTGGCACCGGATCGCGGTGCTGCGCGCTCCCAGGGAGCGCGTAACAAGCAGGGGGCGGGGGGAGGCCGTTTGTAAACAGCCACCTGACCCTGCACTGCCACCGTCCGGCCGTTTATATACAACGGCTAGATGGTTGAGGTGGTTAAAAACAAAGAAGTGTAAGTACCCCGTCCATCCATGCTCGTGTGCAAACGGCGATCAACCCACATGTGAGGTATCACTGCAAACAACAGATCATGGGAAGTGATTCTGGCACCAGATATCCTCTGTAAATCTAAAGTGGTAACCTGTAAAGGCTTTTAAAGTATCACTTTTAAAGTGTAAAATTTTAATTTTTTGTCGCCGTTGCACGGGTGTGCGCAATTTTAAAGTGTGACATGTTTGGCATCTATTTAATCGGCAAAACATCATCTTTTATATTTTACAAAAAAATTGGGTTATGTGTTTTTTTTTGTATTAAGATTTAACAAGCGTATTTTTTCCCCAAAAAACTGCTGCACAAATTTCCAGATAAGAAAATGATAATAAAATTTCCAGATAAGAAACCCACCAATTTATTCTCTAGGGCAGGGGTCTGCAACCTTTAAGACATAAAGAGCCAGTTGGACCCATTTCCGAGAGGGAAAAAAAAGACTGGGAGCCGCAAAACCATTTGCAACATTTAAAACAAATCCGACACTGCATATATTACAAAAAAACGCTCTGGTCCATGAAGGGGGTTTAAGGGGCCCAGTAAGCAAAGGGTTAATCAGGGCCACAGTGTATCGTCATAATCACAATCATAGCCTTAGGTCAGTGGTGGGCAACCTTTTTTTTCGACTGAGCCAAATCTCGCCAAAACCACGATTGAAATTTATTTTGAGAGAAACATTTTTAAAACTGAAAATACATCCCTCCATATAGTAATTCATCCCCCATAGTAATTCATCCCCCATATAGTAATTCATCCCCCCATAGTAATTCATCCCCCATATAGTAATTCATCCCCCATAGTAATTTATCCCCCATATAGTAATTCATCCCCTCATATAGTAATCATCCCCCCATAGTAATTCATCCCCCTATAGTAATTCATCCCCCCCTATAGTAATTCATCCCCCCTATAGTAATTCATCCCCCGTAGTAATTCATCCCCCCTATAGTAATTCATCCCCCCTATAGTAATTCATCCCCCGTAGTAATTCATCCCCCGTAGTAATTCATTCCCCCCTATAGTAATTCATCCCCCGTAGTAATTCATCCCCCTATAGTAATTCATCCCCCGTAGTAATTCATCCCCCCTATAGTAATTCATCCCCCGTAGTAATTCATCCCCCGTAGTAATTCATCCCCCCTATAGTATTCATCCCCCCGTAATTCATCCCCCCTATAGTAATTCATCCCCCTATAGTAATTCATCC